CGATCCTTTGTATCAACGCGATCGTTTTTCCACGGCGAATGCTATAACTTATGCTTCAGGAGTTACAAGGTAAGCATGTGCACGAATTTTCAATATCAAAAACTCATTTCAGGCACTCTTTTCTGATATAGTTGCAAACCAAATTATAAATATGACCAACATGGAAGGAAAGCGTGTTTTTCAAGCATACAATTCCTGGAGTTTTTAAGTCCCACGGCGAATCAACTAAAAGATTGTGGAATAAAGAAACGGGTCGTAGTGTATTTCGAGCAACAATGTTCCTAGAAGTATTTACAAAAATTTCACAAGTAATACGTTTTGATAAAAAGACTACTAAACAGAATAGGAGACGTACTGATAAACTTGCTTCAATACATGAAATTTGAGAAAAATGGGTAAAAAATCTATCAAAATTATACTACTACTATAAAATCAGTAAAATCATACCCCGGAGCTGATGTGAGATCGGATATGTTAATTAGCCAGTATATATGTGTTTTTTGGATTACAACAAAGCCTTCGATAAAGTTAGACATAACCGTCTTATCGAATTACTTAAAAAGAAAAACTTATATATGAGAGACATCAGGATTATTACCGCTATCTATTATAATCAGATCGCTGTGGTAAAAGAGAACAACGCCTTTTCAAATATTGGGAGGGGCGTTAGGCAGGGCTTTGTCCTGTCTCCTACTTTGTTTAATTTGTATTCAGAGGAAATAATCCAGGAAGCACTAGAAGAACTAACTATGGGAATAAAAGTAGATGGCCGACCAATCAATAATATACGGTTTGCCGACGACACTATTTTATTAGCGGAATGTCTTGAGGATTTACAACAAATGATTGACAGAGTGGTAGAAGTCAGTGAAGAAAACAAACTGTCCCTAAACACAAAAAAGACACAATTTCTGGTAATTACAAAAGCCCAACTGCGCCAAGAAAACATAACAATACATGGAGAATAAATTTAAAAAGGTGAAAAATTTAAATATCTGGGTACAATAATTAATGAAAATAATGATTACACAGAAGAGATTAAGGCAACAATAGGACAGGCAAGAAATTCTTTCAACAAACTGAAAAAAATACTCTGCAGCAGGGACATTTCAATTTCTTTAAAGATAAGACTTCTGAGATGCTACGTGTTCTCCGTATTATTTTATGGGTTGGAGGCTTGGACTTTTAAGAAAGATGTTTCGGACAGATTGGAAGCCTTCGAGTTATGGGCCTACAGAAGGATATTAAGAATAATTAAGTTGGGTAGATAGAGTCACGAATGTTGAGGCGTTAAGAAGAATGGGAAAAGATAAAGAGGTCTTAAAAACAGTTATCAAAAAACTGCAATATCTAGGACATGTTATGAGGGGCAAGCGTTATAACTTATTGCAATTAATAATGCAAGAAAGAATACAGGGTAGAGGGAGTCGCGGAAGAAGGCGCGTCTCCTGGTTGAATAATTTGAGAGCATGGTTCAACTGCACTTCTGCTGACCTCTTTAGAGCAGCGGCGTCGAAGGTGCGAATTGCCATGATGGTTGCCAACCTTCTTAAAGGAGATAACACGTGAAGAAGAAGAAGAGGCTGCTGTTTCTTCAAATAGCACATTTTAAGCAAACCCGCGAAATATGGCATAAAAATTTGGGCTTTAGGTGGCAGTAAAAGTTCGTATGCTCTAAAATTGCAGATCTATACAGAAAAGGAAGCAGAAATCAGGGAATGCGTGTGGTGTGCGACTTGTGTAGTTATTTGAAAGGCCACAATATTAATTGTGATAACTTTGTTACATCATATAAGACTATTAGAAAAAGCAAGCCCGAGCTTCCAGCACAAATTGCGAATGAAGAAGTTCATAGTTCGTCTGTCTTTTTACTTCATGCAAGATACCACTGTTGTTAACTATATTTCTAAAAAGAATAAAAATGTTATTCTTATGAGTACTTTGCATCATGATAAGGCTATTAGTGACAAAAATAACAAAAAGCCCCAAATTATTTTAGATTGCAATTCCAGTAAGGGAGCAGTGGATACTCTAGATCAGCTTATTGGTAGGTACATATACAGGTAAGAGGAAGACAAATGGCTGGCCTATGATTGTTTTTTATAATATGCTGGACATTTCTGCATACAACGCGTTCGTTTTATGGACATCAATAAATCCCCAATGAAACACCATCAAACTTACAAAACGGCGAATTTCTCTTGAGTAATTGGGAAAAACACTCGTGAAACCACTTACCCTTTTTAGGAAAATTCACCAAGAACTAAAGACTCACAAGAACTGGTAAAAGGAACATGATTGGAAGCAAGTAGAGAAGATGGAAATTCTAGTGAATTTTTGTTTAATTAACTATAATTGTTTGTTAATAAAGTTTTGTTTAGTACCATTAGCTTATTTTATTTCGATTAAGAACAGTAAACCATAGTTGGGTCATATTGACCCGAACAGTACATTTGCATAGTCGACTCGAACGGTACAGCAGGGTTAAATATTAATTTCAGCAAAAAACTAAAGGAGATCAATTGTATGAAATTTAAGTCTCTCCATTTTTGTTTATGTACATTCATGTCGTAAAGTTAATATTAAACAAGATAATTCGATAATTATGCTTCCCTCCACCTCCTTTATTTTCCTCATTAATTCGGAAAATATCGACCTCACGAAAAAATGTGTAAAAAAGAATTGTACGAAATCGTATTTGCAACAATTTCAGTCCATACCATTTTTATCGAACAGTGGAAAGGGGCGGAGATATTGAGCAAAAATGGTTCTCCTTTTTCATTTTAAAATTTAAGATGGTGGCTAACACAAAAATTTACACTACTATTGACCCCCTTAAAGATTAGAATAACCCGATAGGACTAATAATAAACTATTTTATTAAATATTCGAAATAAACAGAAGATAGGTAAAATAAACAGTTGATTATCTCAAGATGTTTATTTATTTTAGTTTAATCATATCATAGTTTCAAATTAAAATTTCAATTCAATTCAAATCAATAATTGTTATTAGATTACAGCGCATTATTTTTTGTGCTCTGTATAACTTGTTGTTTGTAAAGATGTATAGTCCAAGCTGTATAAAGGATGTGAAGCAACCAGGTTCATTTGCGTTGTAAGAGATATTTTGTCCGAAACTATTACAGATCCTCCTTCTCTTGGCCGACGAATAACTATTACACGTCGATCTGAGCTATATAAGCAATACCTTGATTCAACTGTGTATTTTATGTGCTTCCAGTTATCAACATTCCAGTCAGGGTGCTCTTTGTCAGATTGAGATCTACTTCTATAATCATTTACATTTGAAGCTGATGCTCTGGCTGGTTTCCTTACAAATGCAAATCGTTTTTGTATAGTGTTCCTACCAATTGGAATATTATGTACATTTGTCACTTGTATGTATAAATATCTCATTGTGACAACACATTCTCTTATAGCCTCAGCCTGATCTTGGCGTACTGTTGTGACTCTTCTGCTACCTTATCCAGGCCGGCTCATATGGTCGTTTTTTTTCTCTAAACTTTGAACGTCCGATGAAATACTCTTAACCTTAAGCCTATTTCACGATAACTTAATCCTAAGTCAGCTGAAGTAATTACACGCACACATTAATCTCGCAGCTCAAACTAAATAACATTTGGGGTTTTTAGGAGATCACACTTCTCATAATATTTTGATGGAATTCACAAATTTTGTTATTTATTTTTTTTTTTTTAGGTAAATCGAGTAACTTACGATAGATTGCGAAAAACCTATGTGTTGTCATTTCAAGGAACTGTAACTTTTTTTGCCTGTGTGTGATGTAATTTATGATCTACCTTTTTATTAGAACCCGTTTATTACTCAGTTTGGAAATATGATATATTTTTATGATGCATTATTAGATTTAGCATTTGCTATAGATAATTTCGCTTCTTTTATGGTAACCTTATAATGTTTCATAAGACATATCTTATTGTCATCATTAAAAGAGGTTTTGACTTTTTTTGGTTTTCCCTAGGAGTTTTCTCGAGTGACTTCATTTCGTTTATTTAATTTTGACAATAAACAGATCTCCTTATTCTCAAAAGTTTGTTCAATAGTTTTTGTGGCTTGTTTAATTTATGTTGATGGTTTACCACCAACTAGTATAGTTACCAGTATATTACATTGACGTATACCTTACTTTCTTGTCTTTAGCGATTTATTTAAGACCGATGTGTTATTTAAGGCTTTAATGTTATATGTTAACTTTCTCTCTATTGCAAGACTGTGTTAATCGCCATAGCTACTGGTAATACTGCTATCATATAATATCCAGTATCCTTTTTACTTTCAAAACCTAACACCATGTAACGTTTCATATGATTGTTTGTCAAATCCAATGATTACTTTCTCCTCTTTTGAAACAACATTAAGTTCATCTAATTTATTGGTGGAAGCTCTTACTTTGACCGATATGTGTATAAGAGTGTCCATGGGACACTCTTATATTATACTGCATTTAGCATTTTTTTTTAATATAAATTTTACTCGCATTCTCATCATACCACTTATTTTTATAAATTTCTACGATTATTTTTTATATTTTTTACTCGTGCTTTTCCCTACATTCCATAAGTGGTATCTCTCACTTTATTTTGCCCCTGGTGTGTTCTGCTTTAAAATACATTCATTAACTTAAAACTTTTACCTGTTAGACTGTTAATATTCCAAAATTTTATTTTAGCGATAAAAACAACAAACAATTTTAAATTATGAAATATATCCAACCTTTGATAACTAAGCAGGTGCATTTCTGCGTATTTTAAAAAATACCCTGTAAAATTTTAACTCAATAAATGAGATATTTACTGCTAGTTCTATATATAAAATTTAATATAACCGAAAAGATTTATACTGCACTATTTTTAAAACATCAGCTAGTAACGGTATTACACCCTTTTAAAAGAAATCATTGCAGCACATAAATCACTTTGACATGAGCAGGCGCGTCTTACAAATGTTCTCTTTCAAACCACCATATGCTTTTTGTTTCAGATAGTAGCAGTCCAAAGACGAAAATGTCGAATCCGTTCGCCTTTACGATACAAGACTTCCCAAATTAAAATCGCAGTCAAAATGGAAATTGTGAAAAGGTTTTTACCCTTTACGCTGCTATTTATACTTCAGCATAGAGGATTGCTGTGCCAACACAAAGCCGAAAAAACAAGAACAGAGAATGACGACGTTTACCAAATTAATCGCACATATAATTTAGATATATCCAAAGAGTTGCGTCCATTTAGCAATATTGAAGACGACGAAATAAGAGACATCTTTAATCCAGATTATTATAATCCAAGAATAAGGTATTTTAGGTAAGTGTTCTTGTAAACTATTCTACAACTTTCTATTTTATCTTTTTTTTAAACTACTCATAATTTACAATTAAATACATAAAAAGAGTTTCAAGTAAAGCTGAGAGAACAATTTTATCATTAAGTCAAATTAAAAATCTGAAAATAAAAAGGTAAAATACAAATTTAAAATTTTACAAAGTAGCAAAAACACTGGATGTTATTAAAAAATATTAAAATGTGTTCAGTGTGTTTATACTTTATAGATATCAGCACTGTACTAGTTAACAGGTAGATAGGATTTGAATGTTTTTTTATATTTTGTTAAAAACATTTGTAAAAGACGATATAAGTACAGTAAAACCTTCCAATAGCGACCAGCCTCGGGGAATCAAAAGCTGGTCGCTAAAGGGGAGTGGTCGTTTAAGAAAGAACATAGGAAAATTAAAGTAACTGATCTGAATTTTGCGTTGTTCCTTTACATATTAAATATAATTTTAATTAATCATAATTTTAATTTATCCGAAACATAAATGATCACAATGAGATCACAATGGATCACAATGGACACACTGTATAGTAAAATTTTCTTCTTTTTCTTACGGTACCTATTCGTTCTTAATGTTGGCGATCAGCATAGCTATCCTAACTTTACTTGCAACTATTCGAAATAGTCCGGTTGTAGACATATTGAACCACTTCCTATTTGAAGTCAAGATATTCTTCTTTTCCCTGGTCCTCTCTTTACAAATAGGTTGCCCTGAAGAATGAGTTGAATGAGCAATAAGCCATATCTGTGTTTATTTCTTATAACAAGGCCAAGATATTGAATTTGGGCTCTTTGATTGTGTTAGTGATCTCGCATTCCTTGCCCATTCTACGTAGGACCTCAATATTAGTCACACAATCCTTCCATAAAATTACTCTACTCCGTATAATAATGTAGAAAATACATAGCATCTGATGATAGAAATTTTGGTACTAAGTAGTAAATCGTGTCTTCTAAAAAGAGACTTCATATTTACGAACACTGATCTTGCTTTCCATATACGTTGTTTTACTTCAGTGGAGTTGGCCCATTGACTGTTTATGTTAGTACCAAGATATGTGTAGCTGTTTACCCTGTCAATTGGCTGTTGGTTTACTAAAAGATGTGTATTTAATATTTTGCGCTTACTAACTACCATGTACTTTGTTCGTATTGAGATCCAGCTCATATTCTTGACTTTAATCTGATGTGCGAGACATTATTGTTTGTAAACCTTATAGGCTATCTGCAAAAACTACTGCGTCGTTAGCATATCTTATGTTGTTTAGACGCACTCCTTTAACTAAGACGCCTTCTTTAAATTGTTCCAATGCTTGCTCGAAAATACGCTCCTAGTACATGTTAAATAGGACTGAAGACATAACTCATCCTTGTCTCACTCCTTTAACTATGGAGATTATCTCTGTGAACTGGTCATCCACTTTAATGTTGTCCGTTTGGATGTCAGATGGATATGAGCCTGTCATGTCAACATCACAGTTGACATCTCTACACCTCTGGATAAGCACTTGTATAGCGAATACAGCTTCTCGGGTGCCTAAGGTATCGCGGAATCCAAATGGTGTCCATGACATTTGTTCTTCGCACTTTTTATATTTTCTATTATGTATCACTTTTAAAAACGTTTTAAGTAAGTAGCTCATTAGGCTAATTATTCTGTTGTCTTTGCATGTTTTTACATTTAATTTTTTTTTGTATAATTACGAAGGTTGACTCGAGAATTTCAGGAATTCTGTATATAATTTGTGAGGCTCGCTCTACATATTTACCATATTTAGTCTTTCTAATAGCTGCCGTGACTTCTTTAATGGTCATCGGGGGTCCTGTTTGGCATTCTATGTCTTCAATGACAATCTGCCTTTCATCTGCAATCGTTACTTCCACATATTTCTCCCAAGTTTCTAGTCTCTCTTTCACACTAGTAATGGATTACCTTGGTAGTCTGCCAAACATCTAACTCTTCTAAGTTTGTATAAACCTGCAGCTTCTTTAACTTTTTTGTGCATGTAGAATGAATCGTGTTCCTGTTGGAATAGCTGTATTTCCGCATATTGTTCTCTCAGCTGTGTGTCCTTAGCCATTCCGATTGCTTTTTTGATCTCTTTGTCTATTCTTTTGTATAATGTTTTGTCCTAATCTTTGACCTTTTGCCTCATCATCATCAGTTGGCGCTACAGCCCTTCGTGAGCCTTGGCCTGCTTCAAAACATTCTTCCATCCTTCCCTATCGAGTGCCTGTCTTCTCCAGCCCCTCACTCCAATCTCCCTCAAATCTTCCTGTACATCGTCCAGATATCTGAGTTTAGGTCTCCCCTTCTTCTTCTTCCGACCGGCCTGTTTAGCATAGTTATTTTAGTGGGATCACTCTCATCCATCCGCATAACGTGGCCCACCCACCTTAGGCGGTTTATTTTGATGGTCTTCACAATATCGGCATCACCAAAAAGTCTATAGAGTTCAAAGTTATATCGCCTTCTCCACAGACCCTGTTCGTTTACTTCGCCATATATGGTCCTCAATACTTTTCTTTCAAAGACTCGTAGTAACTCTTCATCTCGGGTCGTCATTGCCTATGTTTCCGATCCGCATGTGAGCACTGGGCGTATTATTGTTTTATAAAGTTTGCACTTTGTTGCTATTGACATACCTCTTGCTCTTAGTTGAAGGCCCAGGCCAAAATAACAGCGGTTATCCATGCATATTCTTTTTTTTTATCTCGTGGGATGTGTTATTTTTGTAGTCTACCAGTGATCCTAAGTAGCAGAATTCTTCTACCATTATATCGTTTCGTGTTGCACCTCTAAGTTATTTTGTTGAATTCTTGATATGGCCGGCATATATTTAGTTTTCTGGATGTTAATCAGAAGTCCGATGTTTTCTGCGGCATTTTTGATACATGTGAAAGCCTCTACTGCTTTATTTTGGGTTCTTCCAATTATGACGATATCATCAGCGTATGCCATTATTTGTATACTACGGGTATATATCGTACCTTTTAAGTTTATTCCCGAATCTCTCATAACTTTTTCTAACGCTAGGTTGAACAGCGTGCGTGATAGCGCATCTCCCTGGCGCAGTCCTCTGTTGGTTTTAAATGGTTTTGAAACATCCCCTTGTACGCACACTTTACATTCGACTTTCATCATTGTCATTTTAATTAATTCTACCAATCCTTTTGGTATTCCTAATTCAATCATCGCCGAATATAATTGGGACCTGTCAATAGTATCGTACGCTGCCTTAAAGTCTACGAAGATGTAATGGCAGTCTATGTCGTACTCCGTCGTTTTTTCTAATATTTGTCTGATGGATGATATGTGGTCAATGGTAGATTTGTTTTTTAAGAAGCCTCTTTGGTAGGATCCTATTATATTGTCAGTATACCGTGCCAGTCGTTCGATAAGTATCAGGAATACAATTTTGTATGCTGTGTTAAGAAGGGAAATCCCTCTAACGTTGGAACATTCAAGAATGTTTCCTTTTTTGTGTATGGGCCATATAATTTCAGTATTCCAATCTTCTGGTAACGCGCGTTCTTGCCATACCTTTATTAGTAGTTTGTGAAGGAGGGTTACAAATGTTTAACCGCCACATTTAAATATTTCTGCGGGTAGGTTGTCTGTTCCGGGTGACTTGTTTCTGGCTAGAGACTGAATTGCTTTGTTTATTTCTTCCAAAGTTGGTAGTTCAGTATTCTCTTGTTCTATTTCTATATCATATCTACCTTCAGCTCTACTTTCTCCATTAAGTAGCGTACTAAAATGTTCCTGCCATCTTTCTAGTACTTCCACTCTTTCGTTTAAAAGAATTCCGTTAAGGGCCTTGACTTGGTTCGCTTGTGGCTTGAAAACTTTTCTTTTTGTGTTAACCTGTTTGTAAAATTAAGATTTTCCATTTCTTCGAACTCTTTCGTTACTCGTTACGTCGTTCTTCTCTTTCGTTACTCGTTGGCATTTCTCATCAAACCAGTTGTTTCGCTGTCCTTTGGGTACTTCACCTAGCACTTCCTCTGCGGTCTCTTTGAGCGTGGTTTTCATAAACTCCCAATTTGTGTTAAGTTCAGTGGGATATACCTCACTTCTGGATGTTCTGATATTTTACGATCTAAGCATATTTGGAAGTTTCTTACGACTTCAGTACGCTTCAATTTATCAACATTATATTTGATTATTTTTGGTTTAGTTTTATCGTTCCTGGCGTTTGATATACGTGCTCTGAGACGTCCAGCTATGAGATAGTGATTGGAGTCAATATTTGCACCTCTATAATTTCTGCAGTCGATAGAAGTCGAAGGTAGATGGAAACGGTTGAGCGAGGGAAGGTAGTGAATATTGCAGAATCCCTGAATATATATGTACCAACTTGAACGGTAATGCTGATAAGACTGGTTATAAAAAATTTAACAAAACTTCAATATGCTTTTTTTTCTATAAGATAAAGAGTAATATTTCTAATAATTGGTACTTGATTTTCGATGTCTATGTGTATTTTTATTTAGATTTGCAATTGACAATAATGAAGAGATATCATTTAAATTCTGAAACACAGTGGCGTGCTATCGGGATGCTTCAAGCTGGCAGAAGTCAAAGAGACGTTGATGAGATCCTCCACATGAATAGAAGTATCATTAATCGTTTGTGATTAAGGTGTCAAGAAACTGGCGATGTTGCTAAACGTCATGTAGGCCGTGTGAGGATAACCAACCAGATTAAAGGCCGTTTTATTAGGTGGAAGGCTTTGCGAGATCACACTGTAATTGCATTACAATTACAAATCAGGCTTCAAGAGACCCGTCAGATGTTTGTAAGTGGCCAAACCATTAGAAATAGCACTGTACGAAGTATGATTAAATGCTCGAAGATCTGTGATAGTGCCTGTCTTATCCAGAGGACATCGCGCTCATCGACTTTAGTAGGCACAAGAACACGCAAATTGGATTAGAAGTGAGTGGGCATTTACTTTGTTCACAGATGGGTCCCGATTTTGTTTTGCATCAGATACAAGACAGACAAAAATTTGGAGACGATCTGACAATTCTGAACGATTGTCCACGGTGCAGAAGGTTCATAGACAGCAAGGAAGCAGTATAATGGTATGGGGTGGCATCACTCTTGATGAAAGAAGCAATCTCATTTATCTGGAACGGTTTCTAAATACAACAGACTACCACGGTATTATTTTAGAACCTATTGTTGTAGACATTCCTTAACATTCCTTAAAGATAATGAAATTGAGGTTTTACTATGGTCTGCACAATCACCAGACTTAAACCCATTTGAGCATGTATGGGACATATTGGGCAGACGCAGTTTACAACAAAATATTGCGTTCAATACAAGACAACAACTGTTTGAGGACCTTTCAATGAAGTGGAACAGAATACCGCAGCAAGAGAACGACCATCTGATCATGAGCTTGCATTACAGATGTAGGACAGTAATCAACAGCCGTGGAGGCCATAGACAATTAACTAATACTTATACTAATTTAACCTAAAGACTGCATTGTTAAGAGTTGAGGGGCAACAAATTAATTTTTTTTATCTAACCAATTTTTGACTTATGAGCTCTTTTAATTTTTTTAAGAGCTATTGCGATAATTCTAAGAAAAACTATTTATTTTATATTCGGGACAATTGTTTACTTTTATTAAACTTTTTATTCCTCCCGGTCCAAGGCATGCTCCTCCTCCAAACCTCTCGATTAAATCGCTCTTCTAATTTCTTCATTCCACTGTCCCTTTTTCATTTACTATTATTTCCAACACATCAACAGCTACAGATAGATTAAAATCAACCATTATACAATCTACAAAGCATACTGATACAAGCTTTTACTACTTTAATTATTTTAAATCCAGGCGGTTGTAACGATCTTTTTAAAAATTTATCCATGTCTATGTAGTAGACGAAATATTATAGTAAAATAGTAGACGAAAAGACTACTTTCGTCTTAAGCACCACTTTACAAATACAAATAACTTAGGTACCACTTTATTATAGCCGGACAAAGCAACGTTTGGTGTTTAAACGTTTTCTCGCTCTCATCAAGTAGAATTTACAATTCCAGAAAATCTTTTAAATAAATAAAAATAAATAAATAAAATTACCAGGAGAGGACATAATACCGAACGAACTCATAGGTACAAAGAACCAGATCTGACCAAACCACTATTAAAACTAATCCAAAAAATAACAGAACATTCCTCAAGAATTGAGATCAAGCATCCTAATACCTCTCTTTAAAAGTAGAGACAAATTGGACCCGGAAATTACAGACGAATTTTATTAAACTTCTTCTTTTTCTTCTTTTTTTATAGACATGACTCTGTCTGTTTTTCAATATGCCTCAAGTAAGTTGTCGTTCCATCATTTTCGTGGTCTTCCTATCGGGAAACCGTCTCTTGCCGTCTTTACTACTCTATTTGTTGTCATTCGGCATATATGATCGTTCTATTCTACTTCTTACCTAGTTCCTGATGTTTTCCACCTTGCATCTACGTCGTTTATCTGTACTTCTGGCTCTATCCCATAAGTGTCTTACCATCAATTGTTCTAAATGTTTTCATGTCTGCTGTATCTAACATCCTTATTGTCATCACTGTTTCAAGTCTTGTTTCTGCCGCGTATGTTATTATTGGTCTGATGACTGTTTTGTAAATTTTGCCTTTCATTTATTTCCCGATATTTTTATTTCTCCATATTGATTCATTCAGGCAGCCTGTCTGTTTGCTCTATTTACTTGATCTTTCACTCCAGTTTCGAGTTTTCCGTAGCTAGGTAATGGGATGCCTAGATATTTAAACTCCATCACTTGTTCTATTATCTGACCTTCCAGCTCCAATTTACATCTTAGTAAATTTGCTGTTGTAACCATGCATTTTGTCTTTTTTGGGGAAATTAACATGATAAATTTTCTGACGGATTTTTTAAATTGGTGCAGCATACATTGTAAATCATCTTTACTTTAAGAGACTAGTATTGCGTCGTCTGCATAGCAGATTATTTTAAGTTGTTTTTCTATCATTTGGTATTCTTTTTTACTTATTACTTTTTTATTATTTCATCCAGAATTAGGTTGAACAATAGAGCACTCAAGGAATCTCCCTGTCTTATCTCATTGACAGCTTCAATAGGGTCGATTAGTTCTTTTAATATGACATGATCAAATGCCTTCTTAAGGTCAACGAAACATAGATTGCGGGTTTGTTGTATTTGAATGATTTCTCTTGCACTTGCCTCATTATAAATATAGCGTCGGTGCATAATCTTCCCGATTTAAAACCTTGTTGTTCTTCTGCTAGTGATATAATTTTATTCAGTTTATTTGTTATCACATTGGTTGTTAATTTTAGTTTTGTGTTTATTAAATTAAATCCTCTGTAATTTTCCGGGTCCGATTTGTCTCCCTTTTTATAGAGGGGTATTAGGATGCTTGATCTCAATTCTTGAGGAATGTTCTGTTATTTTTTGGATTAGTTTTAATAGTGGTTTGGTCAGATCTGGTCCTCCGTACTTTAGGAGTTCGTTCGGTATTCTGTCCTCTCCTGGTGAATTTCTATTTTTTAATTTTCTTAATGTTTCCTTGTCCTCTTTCTCCTCAAGATTTATTTTTTCGTTTGTCGTCACCGCTGGTGTTGGTAATTCATTCGTCGTTCGTCACCTTTAGCAAATAGGAATCGAAAGTAGTCTACCCATGTTTGCTTCTGAATGTGTTTCGTTTTTATTACTTTATTCATTTCTGTTCTTTGTCCTCTGATCATTCTTCATACTTCTTTTTGTGTTCCGTAGAAGTCGTGTTTCATCTATTTTGAAAAGCTCTGCCAGTGTTGAAAAGCTCTGCTTTTTTATTTGTCTAACTGAAGTATTCGTTTTATTTCTGATTCGTTTATAGTGGTTGTATGCCTGTTGTATTTGTTGTGATCTGTATTGTAAAAAGGTTTTCTTCTTTTATTCACATTTTGTCTTTACTGTCTCTCTAAACCATGGTGTTTTCTTTTTTGATATGTTAGTGTTCGTTACTTTCTTCTCTCCAAGTGATTCTGTTGCTGCGTTAATTATGTTATTTTTGAGTTTTTCCCAGCTTTCCTCGATGTTATCGTTTTCTAATATTTCATTCCCAGCGATCTTCTCTGATATTCTTTTCCTGTATAAGTATTCCGTGGATTCCGTATTTAGTCCTTCGACATTGATGTTTGTTTGTGTTGGCGCCGCTCTCTTGGGTGGAAAGTATTTCAGGATGATTCTTACAGTTACATAATACTAGGTTATGGTCGCTACCTACATCTGCTGAGTTGTGGCAAATTACGTCGATTATTTTCGATAGATGTATATCTCTGTTGGTTATAACGTAATCTATTATAGATCTTTGTCCACGGATGTTGTTAAATGTATATTTGTGTTGGTCTTTGTGGTCAAAAAATGTGTTGCTTATTCTTATTTCGTTATTCGTGCAGAAGTTTATCATTAGTTCTCCATTTTCGTTTTTGACATTCTCGTTATGTTTTTGCTTAATTCCGGATATTACTTGATTGCCCCCATATTACCATATTCCCTCTGATTTGATCTACTACTTGTTGTAATTGGTTTTATTAACTTAACACTAAAATTAACAACCAAAGTAATAACAAATAAACTAAATGAAATTATAACACTAGCAGAAAATATTTATAATGGGACAAGTGCAAGAGAAATCATTAGAATACAATACAATAGTGTATCTATGCTTCGTGATCCGTAAGAAGGCATTTGACCGGGTCAAAAAAAGATCGGTATCCACTTATTGTATACAAGAGAGGTACTTCTATGCATAATGAAAAAGATCGAAAATATCTACAAAAACGACACAATAAAAGCAAAAGTAGAAGAAGAACTAACCGACTGTATTGAAGCTGGCAATGGGAGAAAACACAAAGATTCCCTAAGTTCTTTATTGTTAATCCTTATTATGGATGAAATAATAAAAAGTAAGAACTAAAAAACGATACCAAATGGTAGAACAACAACTTAAAAAAATTTTCTATGCAGACAACGCATTACAACTCTTTTAAAGTGAAGATAACTTACAACGTATGCTGCACCAATTTAATATAACCGCCAGAAATATTAATATGTTAATTTTTTCCAAAAAGACAAATTGCATGGTTATAACAGCAAATTTACTAAGATATAAATTGGAGTTGGAAAATCATATAATAGAACAAGTCAAGGTTTTTTTTTCTAGCTACGGAAAGATAGAAACAGAAGTGGAAGATCAAGTGAATAGAGCAAACAGAGCCGCGGGTTGTCTGAATGAAACAATATAGACAAATAAAAATATCGGGAAACAAATGAAAGGCAGAATTTACAAAACAGTTATCAGACCAACAATGACATACGCGGCAGGTAGAAACACAACCTGACACAGAAAGAACAAAAAGAATGTTAGAAACAGCAGAGATGAAAACACTTAAAAAAATAGCGATCAAATAAGCCGAATGACGGCAAGAGACGGTTCCCCAATAAGAAAGTAATCAATAAGAAGACCACGCAACGATGGAACGACATCTTAGTGGAGGCACATTGAAAAATAAACAGTCATGTCTACAAAAAAAGTAGAAGAAGAAATAAGTCTAGTTACTAATATAGCGCGTTCTGGCGTGAGAAGAAATAAATTGTGTAAATGACTCATATATGCCGCAATTAGCAACGTTATTAAATGGCGAATGAATTGAGTATGATAAGATAAGGAAGTCGCCAATTAATTTGTTTCTCAAAAGCGATACCCAATCTAAGAAAGTTTGGGAAACAGTGCTTTAATCTATTCTTATCCTGTTTTAAACTTAATTAAATGTAATATTTGAAATTTTCGGACGATTTATTTTCTCTCTAAAAATTATAGGGAAAACAAATATTAATTGGTATACTTTTTTCTAGAACTAAAAGAGGTAATCCGACCGATAGTTTAGCAACAATTAGAAAAAAATTAAATGATGGGAAAAGAAAAGAAGAAATGATGGCCGCTGATGCTGATGCTCGAATGGAACCGAATGATACGGATTCGGCGAAAAATGCAGAGGGTCATTCCGATTATGGACATAAACAAAGTAAGTGATCATTACATATTTACTTTTAATATTATATTTTGTTTTTTATTTCCTTATCTAATATTATTACTTACTGCAAAAAATAAATAAATACGTAGCTGAATGCAAAATCTATTTTTAAATACAAAAGTGTTCTGTTAAATTTTACTATATTTTTACCCGATTAGTCATTTTTTCTCGACTACCCTAATTCGAAAATCGGAAAGGATTCTGAAAAGTTACTTTGTGCTAAATAGTATATATTTTTAAATGTTTAATTTAAGTTTTAAATATTGAAAATATGAAAATTACAAACATTATATAAATAATTGTAATAATAAATAAATAATTGTATTTATATGAAATTATTTTAAAACGAGAATTATTATAAAAATTTAAAAAGAGGATTCAATGTTTTTAATCGAATGACATTTATGACATATAATTTATGTATTAAATTTTGACAATCGTTTCCAATCGAATCTTTTAGTGACAGATATTCTTTTAATTTTTTACTTCTCATTTAATGTCTATATTTTGTTAATTATTTTTCATGCAGCTTTTAATATAAACCTGCTTAGAGTAAAAATATGATAACTAGAAACGAATTGATCGAGAGTAGTGAACCGATGTCAAGAATGCTATTCTATGACGCTACCCATGATGACGCCGTTTTGTCGCGCTAGTTCCGTGAGGCTCGCCTCAGCATTTTACTGTAGCGAAAAAATAGTAATAAAAATCCAGTATAGAAGTTTCGCTTTAAAAATGTACTTAATCGTAAAAGAATTTTGTCCACTTTTATATAATATGATAAAGTTCATTTCTTTGTCTTAAAAGAATATGTTAACAATCACCGTATATAGTGCTAATACTAGTGTAAGCAGTTACCTAATCTGTGCAATCCTTTTCATTTCCAAAATATACTTTAGAATATGTCTGCTAAACAAAATGGGGACACATATAATGCAAAAATAAGTTAGTCTCTCCCTCATAATGCGAAAACACTAAATAGGTCCGATATATAAAACATTAAAGTAAAATTTTCATAAGATATCAGTCCGTTGAATAAAATTTTTTAAAATGTTTATTATTATTATTATGTTTTTGTATTAAAGTTCTGAGTTTCTCAAAAAAACCTTTTTTGTCTTAGTATAATATATTCTTTTAAACCTCCTATAATACGTTTAGTCCTTTTGTTTGATGTTTTGAGAGTGATGTTTTTAAAACTAATAATCAACAATTATTTTATTAGGAAAAACGAACGTGGAGCAATTGTACAACAGAAACAACGACAAAATTAGGATCCTCCATCAACAGCACGCCGTGGAAAAACTGCATGAATTCGAAGCTGGAGTCGACTGCGATTTCGAGAATGATTGCGTTTGGACGTGGCGGAAAGATATTGCGAACGGATTCTTTATCACCTCTGGCACGAAGTACGGACTCAACGAAACGGGGCCCAGAACGGATGCTGATAATAGCGAAGGAGGTAAGATTAATTATTGTTTGTGTAGAGCAGGATCTTTATGTCTGATTCTTAGAACGAAGTCGGCGAGAGATATATCGGAGTTTTATGTGTTCTCAGAAATTGTCAAATATTAGGATGTTCGAACCTTAACCTTTAAAACTCCGAATTAAGGGAGGTTTTATCTTAAAAAGCATATCTTGTTATCGTTAATAAGGGACGAACCTACATTTTATATGAAAAACTTAATTAACAAATAATCCTATTTGTTTGTTTATTTGATATGCATCAGTAAGAGACTTTTTAAGAACGCTTATTAACATAGTTTTAGTTAAATTTTCTCTTAGTGCAAAAATGATAATGTACTGGACATACTAAATAGATATCAATGATACTTGGTACTCACATGAAGAAATTCCAGATAATTATTAAATTGTGCATAATTTAAAACAGTTTTTTAAATTCTTTCGTTTGTCTACTTGCCATATACTTAAGTGGTCTAGAAATTAACGTTTTTACATAAAAAATTGAAAACAAAAGATATCAACACAAAATTTTATTTACAAAATCAAAATTCCATACTCCTTTCCCCCTAAGAATGCCTTCAGTTTCGGGAACAGATGATAATCAGAAGACGCCAAGTCTGGACTAAAGGGTGGGTGCTCGAAAATTTCCCTCTGTAGACGTAGAAGTTCTTGCTGAGTTCTTGTCTATGCATGGGATCGAGCATTGTCGTGAATCATAAACCTTCTTCGACAACATACATGTCGTTTATTCTGTATTGCACGTTTTACTTTTTAAAGAGTTTTGCAAAAGGCTTCAGAATTTATTATTTAACCCGTACTCATAAACTCTACCTCTGAATTAAACCGTTTAATTTATTTAAAAACCGAATCACACTACATACTTCACATTTGGCGAGATTTTCAATGGGCGCCACCATTTCAAAATGAAGGGTACAGGGGAAAATGAAGGCTGTCACTTTAGTTTAATTTTTGAGGAGAGCATTTTCAAAGTTATAAGACTAATATTAATGATATATTTTGTTGTATACGGTAATTTTTTAAACAATCATAAATTTGGTATGTTTACACTGCGGTTAAAAAATTTTTATGTAATTTGGATAGCGATAGAATACCACATTGTAAGAAATGCATAGCTAAGAAATACATTTTTGCTGATTAACAAGAGGGAAGGTCTCTTGTTTTAATGCATAGTGAATTTAATTTAAGAAAAGCAACAAAAATAAAAGGAAAATACAATTTTACTTAGTTTGTATAATAAAAATTTAATAATTGCGCATAATCCAACTTATCCTTATTCAACATCTGGTAGTGCTTTGAAATACTCTTTCGCACTCTTTTTGAAAATTCTGAACAGGTGCACGTCATCAAACTTTGTCTTCAAAATAAGAATCATAGCTACAAATAGAATACTTCCCAATACTACTACATTAATTTATTACTATTTCATACCTTTATAAAGATAGTCTGGACGGCGGTTTGCGATTACTGCAGACTCAAAAAACCATTATATGAATTTCGGTAATAAATAAAACGAGGGTGCGATTTTACAACCTTGGCTTCTCGGAGAAGTCCCGTTTTAAAGAGGTACTTCTTGGTGAAAATTTTGTTCAAGTGGTTTGACCATTTTCTAAATAGCAGCTGATCCTATTACATTACCTATTTCATTAAAAGTAGAAGGTTTCACTCTGGCTTGACGAAAAATCTCCATCCATTCATTTGGCTGCTCTACTTTAGCTTTTTGGTTTATTAGACCCATATTCCCAACCCATCTGTTTCAAAATAGGCCTCTTATTGGAAAACATATTTTTATTTCATCAAATATTTTTCGTTGTGCACTAGGTTGTGGAGAAATCTTAAAACAGTATAATTCTTGTTTTGTCCTCCGCATGAATCACAGAACATGGAAATACAGCGGACATTTACATCAAGCTGATTGTATACGAAATCGTGCAACATTGAGCACACATCATCGCTACCTTTTTTCCTACTGTTTCATGGTAAGTATAAAATGTACTGGCTCGGGTTGATAAAATGTGGACATTATAACTATACAAAGAAAGTTGGCGCCTGTAGTAGATGTCATTTGTAGAAATGTGTTGGTAGGTTTTTCTGGAAATCAAAACAAATTGCTTCTTCACTGCTGCTTTTCCTGCTTCTTTTTGTATCTTCTCGTTTCCTTTTATTAAACGTGTCTGCTTTCAAGTTATTAGTTTATTTTTATTTTCTAATCGCCTTATTTCATTCTAAGAGCACCATCATTATCTCCTGAAATAATATTACCCTTTTCCACTCTAGGTTCTTTATTTTCACTTGATACTCATCAGATGTCCTGCATGTGTCTTACCTTGGATACCTAAATGACAAATTGAATTCGTTCTGAAGCTATTTACTTGTGGCATTGTAAATTAATTACTATTTATAACTGGGAATAAGCCACAATTAAAGATAAAAATACGTTTATTGACGTTTCAATTTCCAATTCGGAAATCGTTCTCAAAATACAAACAGTAAATTAAACAAATTTTGTTTTTTGTTACATAGTGAAAAAAATTCTTCTAATAATTTAATTTTATCTGACTCATTTATATTGACAATTCAGACATACATTATGCATTTTAAAGTAGACGACTTTAAAATGATATTGCCAATATTGTTGAGTTGCGCTCCTGGGACGACTTTACTTATAAGATAGTTCATTCGATTACATGAAATCAACTTCAACTTGAGAATATCCGTCAGAAAAAATCATACCATGTAATTCGTCTTTAAAAAGACAAACACATGACATGATGACAGTAAAATTCTCCTGTTAGTAATTCCATAGTAAATTATGAGGGAAAAACCAGGAAAAAAACCTCATAATACTATCCCGACATTGTAAGTATTTGTTCGTGAATTTAGTTTACCTTCAACAAACATCAAAAAAAAAACATAAATGATGTATCCTGTATATGTTACTGACTTACTAATACTGGTATTTTCTTATTAATAACTTCCTCTTTCAATATTGGTAACCAGATCCTACTACATTCTGCCGAGGAATTTGCGACACAATTGGCCTCATTTAGCATAATTAGAGCCGCTTCTTTGATTTTTCTTTTTTTACTATCCGTTTCTTTTAGGACTACATTTGAATTATTCCATTGAACCCTATGTTCATTATCCCATGCGTGTTTACAGATTTGAGATCTATCAAATTCTCTATTTTTAATATAAGATTGATGTTCACTTATTCTAACATTTAATGGTCTTGATGATTCACCTAAATAAAACTGATCGCATTCACAAGGTATTTTATAAATGCAATTCTTTGTCCTTTCTTGTTCATTGTTAGGTTTGGTTTTGGACAAAATAGATCTCAACGTGTTTGTTGTTTTGAATGTTGTTGAAATGTTGAATTTATTTCCTATCCTTTTAAGTTTTTCTGATAATCCTTTTATGTACGGTATTGTTATTTTCCTCATATTATTCCTTGTGTATGCTGTAGGATCTCGTTCTAAGTTGTTCTGTTCTATTCGATCGATTGTTGAAAATTCCTTATTTATAAACGATAAAGGATAATCATTTTTTAATAAAACAGATGTTAACAAATGTTTCTCCTCCAAGAACGAATTTTCATTAGAACAAGTAATTTTGGCTCTATCGTATAAGGATTTAATTATTCCCTTTTTTACATTAATATTGTAATTTGATCTGAAATTTAAATATCTATTGGTGTGTGTTGGTTTTCTATACACCTGAGTCTCATATCCAGTATCGTTCTTAGAGATTAAAACATCCAGGAAAGGTAGCGTGTTATTACATTCCTTTTCCATGGTAAATGTTATTGTCTCTTCTTTATCGTTTATATCGTTTAGAAATGTGTCCAACAACTCTGATCCATGAGGCCATATTGAGAATACATCATCTACATACCTCCACCATACTATGGGTTTAAAATTTTATTTAGAAATGATATTTGTTTCAAAATTGTCCATAAATATATCGGCTAAGAATGGAGATAAACTAGAGCCCATTGCTAGACCAAAATTTTGTTTATAGAATTCATTATTTAGTTGAAAATATGTATTATCAGTACATAATGTTAATAACTCCATTATAGCCGATATGTTTAGTCTTGTTCTAGTTGCCAATGAATCATCATTCTCTAATTTTGTCTTGACTATACTTAAAGTCTTATTTAATGGCACATTCGTAAATAAACTATTTATGTCAAAACTTACCAAAGTATTATTTGAATTAAATTCAATATTTGATAATTTATTTAAAAAATGTTGTGTATTTTTTATGAATGTGTCATTTTTATTTGTATAAGGTTTTAAAATATTTAATAAAAATTTTGATAGTTCACTACAAGGAGAATTCATGGTACTACAAATGGGTCTAAGTGGTATATTCGTTTTATGAATTTTCGGTACTCCATAAAAATGAGGAGTCTTACTGTAATGAGGTGTAATTAATCCTCTCTGATAACGTGTTAAAACATCTTTAAACTTGAATAAAGTTCTATATATTTTGTTTTCCAAAGGCTTTGTTGGATCTTTTGTTAATTTTGTATAAGGTCCGTTTATTAATAGATCTTTAATTTTATTTTCGTATTGAATTTTATCCATTATTACAGTTGCATTCCCCTTGTCTGCTGGTAGGATGATTATGGAGTCGTCATTTTTTTAAAGTTCTTATAGCCTTTAGTTCCTCTTTGCTTATGTTTTGTTCAATTTTGGTAGATTTTTCCAATTCAAGTTTACATAACACTCTGTATTCTTCCTTTTCGTGGGTTGGTAAGCATTGAGATATTTTCTCCACTGAGCTTATTATGTCTAATTTTGGAACGGATGGCTGAGTAATAGCAAAGTTTAGACTCTTTGACAGTATTAAATTCTCCGTAGCATTTAAATGTCTATTTGATAGATTGACAACTGTCGCTAATATTTCATCATTTCTATTTTATATTTATTTCTATTTTATATTTATGGAAAATTTTGAAACAAATATCATTTCTAAACAAAATTTCAAACCCATAGTATGGTGGAGGTATGTAGATGATGTATTCTCAATATGGCCTCATGGATCAGAGTTGTTGTACACATTCCTAAACGATATAAACGATAAAGAAGAGACAATAACATTTACCATGGAAAAGGAATATAATAACACGCTACCTTTCCTGGATGTTTTAATCTCTAAGAACGATACTGGATATGAGACTCAGGTGTATAGAAAACCAACACACACCAATAGATATTTAAATTTCAGATCAAATCACAATATTAATGTAAAAAAGGGAATAATTAAATCCTTATACGATAGAGCCAAAATTACTTGTTCTAACGAAAATTCGTTCTTGGAGGAGAAACATTTGTTAACATCTGTTTTATTAAAAAATGATTATCCTTTATCGTTTATAAATAAGGAATTTTCAACAATCGATCGAATAGAACAGAACAACTTAGAACGAGATCCTACAGCATACACAAGGGATAATATGAGGAAAATAACAATACCGTACATAAAAGGATTATCAGAAAAACTTAAAAGGATAGGAAATAAATTCAACATTTCAACAACATTCAAAACAACAAACACGTTGAGATCTATTTTGTCCAAAACCAAACCTAACAATGAACAAGAAAGGACAAAGAATTGCATTTATAAAATACCTTGTGAATGCGATCAGTTTTATTTAGGTGAATCATCAAGGCCATTAAATGTTAGAATAAGTGAACATCAATCTTATATTAAAAATAGAGAGTTTGATAGATCTCAAATCTGTAAACACGCATGGGATAATGAACATAGGGTTCAATGGAATAATACAAATGTAGTCCTAAAAGAAACGGATAGTAAAAAAAGAAAAATCAAAGAAGCGGCTCTAATTATGCTAAATGAGGCCAATTGTGTCGCAAATTCCTCGGCAGAATGTAGTAGGATCTGGTTACCAATATTGAAAGAGGAAGTTATTAATAAGAAAATATCAGTATTAGTAAGTCAGTAACATATAGAGGATACATCATTTATGTTTTTTTTTTTAATAACGTAACATATAAAATCAGAATTTTAATGTTTGTTGAAGATAAACTAAATTCAAGAACAAATACTTACAATGTCGGGATAGTATTATGAGGTTTTTTTCCTGGTTTTTCCCTCATAATTTACTATGGAATCACTAACAGGAGAATTTTACTGACATCATGTCATGTGTTTGTCTTTTTAAAGACGAATTACATGGTATGATTTTTTCTGACGGATATTCTCAAGTTAAAGTTGATTTCATGTAATCGAATGAACTATCTTATAAGTAAAGTCGTCCCAGGAGCGCAACTCAACAATATTGGCAATATCATTTTAAAGTCGTCTACTTTAAAATGAATAATGTATGTCTGAATTGTCAATATAAATGAGTCAGATAAAATTAAATTATTAGAAGAATTTTTTTCACTATGTAACAAAAAACAAAATTTGTTTAATTTACTGTTTGTATTTTGAGAACGGTTTCCGAATTGGAAATTGAAACGTCAATAAACGTATTTTTATCTTTAATTGTGGCTTATTCCCAGTTATAAATAGTAATTAAATTGAATTCGGTTGAGAAAATCGTTCTGTAAGTGAATCGGTTATTTATGAAAGGCCTCATGTCACTTTTTTTCAAATTTTCGTTTAACTTAGAAAATGATAACCCATATGTTCGCACATCATTTGCTTATGAAAAGCCTCATGTCTTGTTATTCCGTTATCAGATATATTAGTTTAAAATTATTGTTTATTTATGAAAAGCCTCTTGTCAGTGACAAGGGGCTTTTCATAAATAAAAGCACTGTTGGCAACATTGCCCTGTTCGCTGATTGTTGACAGATATTCAGTGTTTGGAGATTAATAATTAACCTAATGTTGTTTTATGTTATAATCAACTGTTAACTAATAAAGTACAATATTTCTCTTCAGTTATTGTTAAAGTGATTTAACTTATGTTTTGAAATAATGTCAGAGAGTGAAAATCTCGTTGAAATTGAAGCAGATAGCAAGAAGCGAAAGAGGGGTGTTCGTTACCATGAAGAATATAAATTTAATCGAATTAAGAAAGCTAGATGTCATGGCAAAGGATATCTAAATTACAGAGGAAATGTTGAACCACGCAAAACAGGATTACCATGCTCGTCAGTTACGTTTTATCTTAGAACGTACCATTTTAGACAGGAAATAAGATGATAATTCAGAAGTCAGTTTTAAAACCTTGCTTAGTTCCACAATAGTTACCTTTTTCAAATGTTGCAGATGCAGATTCAGATGTTTCGAAAAGTTATGTGAATAGGACGAAGTTGAAATTTTATGCAGAGGGGCAAACTTTGCAAACAAAAATAAGCAAGACCTTTTTTACCAGTCCTTAATAGAAGTAGGGCCCCTACGGAAGAAGAGGTCAAGATTAAAACAAAACACTTCCGAAGATGAAGCTGAACATGTTTTTTTTAGCCCAAACATTTTATTTTATGCCCAAAAGTTCTTTTAAATTCTATGCCTTGCTTCGTGAGAAAAGGATCAACATCTGCAAAAAGGCTTTTTTAAGTCTGCACGGTATTGGTAAGTTAAGAGTAAGAAGACTACAAGATCTTTTTGTAAAAGGTAAATCTCCTAGAGATTTAAGAGGCCAACAGAATAATTGGAGGACACTTCCACATGATAATACGGATCTTGTAAAAGAACACATTCAGTCATTTCCACTGAAAACAAGTTATTATTCTTCTAATGAAATAGAATCTCTAGATGCTAAGCTGGACATAAAAAAAATGTTCAATTTGTTCCAAGAGAAATATAACGACTTAAACGTAAAGTATTGTTTTTACTACAAACTTTTCAAAGAACATTTCAATTATAGATTTGGAAGGCTTCGAATTGACACTTGTTGTGAATGTGAACTGCTCAGTATTACAATAAAAAAATCCTCAGTTAAATGAAACAGCAAAACGAGTTGCAGTTGCGCAGCCACTTGTGCATAAGAGGCGTAGCAAAAAGTTTTATTCATCCCTTCGACAGACTAAAGAATCGATGTTTGATTGTATGGCAAACATATCGCTTCTCACAATTCCAGTGCAGAAAATATACTACCTTAGACAACTGTCCGTCTATACGTTTGGTATACACTACAGTAATAATGACACTGCAACATTTTATTTATACCACCAGGGAGTTGCTGGAAAGGGAAGTAATGAAGTTTACTCTTTCTTGAAAAAGTATATTGACGAGAATGTTCAAGCTAATGTAGATGAATTGTACTTATCAATTACAACTGTACAGTACAAAATAAAAATCATACGATGATTAGGTTTTTAATGTAACTTACAGATAGTGGAAGATTAAAAAAAATTATCTATGACAGGGTCTTTGGCCTTGTAAAACGAAACCTAAGGAAACATGATAAATTCTACACTTTGAAAGATAAAACAGAAATAGTACTTTCCTCTACAAAACAGAGAAAATTTACTGTGAATTTTGTGGAAAATGCAAATGTTTTGGACTTTCAAAGTTAGTGGCCCAAATTTTACAAAAAAATACTGTTTTAGAAGAAAGTAAAATTGAGAAAAACAAAAAAAGGAAATGTTTACTATTTCTTCCTACCATGAATTTACTTGCGAAAGATTTAAAAAAGGAGTGGTTGTTGTATTTGATTTCATAGGTAAATTTATTAGCAAAACCTTCAAATTATTATCTAATCCACTGTCTATTGCTGAGCCATCCTCTCCTTCCTCATTAGCAAGAAAAACTCATGAATGAAAGGTACTAATTCATTAACAAAAAATGAATGACCTGAAGAAACTTTTGCAGCTTGCCCAATGGCCTAGAGTTGCAACGAAAAAATGAGCCAAACGTATAAAATGGCAATTAATTGTAGCTAATTGTATTGTCTTAGAACTGTTTTAATAAAGTAACATTAATTATAATTAAACACGGTGTAAATTCATCAATCAATCAAAAGTTTTCCCGTAAAACAACACTTTTGTTTATGAAAGGCCTTTTGTCAGCTAGTTTCAATAATAAAAAAAATATAATATTGATTTTAAAAAGTGTAACTAACATGATTTATTTTTAAGTTTTAAGGTTCTTAAAATGTTTCGAAAAATCAGAAAATTAAAAAATCGTTCTTTATAAAACTAAACAGTTTTTTCTTGTTTTCCAAAATGTACATTTTGTGACAAGAGGCCTTACATAAATAAGCGATTCAAGTTTCGTAAGACACTTTTATATTTGGATATTTTTCAATATACATTTTTGTGCATTTTATTAATAGTTAGCTCCTCTGGTAAGTATATTTTGGAAGATTCTGCTAAGTTGTAATGGCCTTTTCGCCCTTTAAACGAACTAAATGTGGTTCGTTACTGCTTCTCTTTGTTCTTTGAAGAGTTTCCTAGGTCTTGACTTCTTTGATCTCTTGGAAACATGCTAAAGCAAACCTGAACTTCTTTTATTGTATTCTCATCATTTATAAACTTACTCAATAACTATATACGGCATCTTTAAATATAGCGTTCTCTTCCATTTGACGCGAACGTTGGTTTGAAATTTGTTGTGTGGTTCTGAAGTAAATGGAGTTATTAACATTATGTACTGATAATACATATTTTCAACTAAATAATGAATTCTATAAACAAAATTTTGGTCTAGCAATGGGCTCTAGTTTATCTCCATTCTTAGCCGATATATTTATGGAAGATTTTGAAACAAATATCATTTCTAAACAAAATTTCAAACCCATAGTATGGTGGAGGTATGTAGATGATGTATTCTCAATATGGCCTCATGGATCAGAGTTGTTGGACACATTCCTAAATGATATAAACGATAAAGAAGAGACAATAACATTTACCATGGAAAAGGAATATAATAACACGCTACCTTTCCTGGATGTTTTAATCTCTAAGAACGATACTGGATATGAGACTCAGGTATATAGAAAACCAACACACACCAATAGATATTTAAATTTCAAATCAAACCACAATATTAATGTAAAAAAGGGAATAATTAAATCCTTATACGATAGAGCCAAAATTACTTGTTCTAATGAAAATTCGTTCTTGGAGGAGAAACATTTGTTAACATCTGTTTTATTAAAAAATGATTATCCTTTATCGTTTATAAATAAGGAATTTTCAACAATCGATCGAATAGAACAGAACAACTTAGAACGAGATCCTACAGCATACACAAGGAATAATAGGAAAATAACAATACCGTACATAAAAGGACTATCAGAAAAACCAAAAAGGATAGGAAATAAATTCAACATTTCAACAACATTCAAAACAACAAACACGTTGAGATCTATTTTGTCCAAAACCAAACCTAACAATGAACAAGAAAGGACAAAGAATTGCATTTATAGAATACCTTGTGAATGCGATCAGTTTTATTTAGGTGAATCATCAAGGCCATTAAGTGTTAGAATAAGTGAACATCAATCTTATATTAAAAATAAAGAATTTGATAGATCTCAAATCTGTAAACACGCATGGGATAATGAACATAGGGTTCAATGGAATAATTCAAATGTAGTCCTAAAAGAAACGGATGGTAAAAAAAGAAAAATCAAAGAAGCGGCTCTAATTATGCTAAATGAGGCCAATTGTGTCGCAAATTCCTCGGCAGAATGTAGTAGGATCTGGTTACCAATATTGAAAGAGGAAGTTATTAATAAGAAAATACCATTATTAGTAAGTCAGTAACATATAGAGGATACAACATTTATGTTTTTTAAATAACGTAACATATAAAATCAGAATTTTGATGTTTGTTGAAGGTAAACTAAATTCACGAACAAATACTTACAATGTCGGGATAGTATTATGAGGTTTTTTTCCTGGTTTTCCCTCATAATTTACTATGGAATCACTAACAGGAGAATTTTACTGTCATCATGTCATGTGTTTGTCTTTTTAAAGACGAATTACATGCTATGATTTTTTTCTGACGGATATTCTCAAGTTAAAGTTGATTTCATGTAATCGAATGAACTATCTTATAAGTAAAGTCGTCCCAGGAGCGCAACTCAACAATATTGGCAATATCATTTTAAAGTCGTCTACTTTAAAATGCATAATGTATGTCTGAATTGTCAATATAAATGAGTCAGATAAAATTAAATTATTAGAAGAATTTTTCACTATGTAACAAAAAACAAAATTTATTTAATTTACTGTTTGTATTTTGAGAACGATTTTCGAAGTGGAAATTGAAACGTCAATAAACGTATTTTTATCTTTAATTGTGGCTTATTCCCAGTTTAATAGTAATTAATTGTTGTGTGGTTATTAGACTACATAAATATAAGTTTTATTTATCAACAGAACACCACAAATTAAATTGCTTTAAAATATTGTTCCTAAAGCCTTCAGAAACATTTTGAAAACATTGCAATCTTTTACAGTGACAGTCGGACAGACGGAACATGGCTTTGTAATCTAAGTTTTTTACTTAAATCAGTCATGCGGTCAAATAATTTTTCCAACCTTTTCTGTCTCCAATTTTTGCTTCTCAGCTCTTTGATATCCTCCATGATCGCATCACTCTACTTTCTTCATGGTCTACCTCTCTTTTTTTTAGCTTCTAGTAACCTCCATTAAATGTTCTTGATCTGCCTACAATACTTATTTCTTTCTAGGTGGCGGAACCATTCTAGTTTACGTTAATTAGTTTAACTACTGTTAATATACGAGGGTTGTCGTATAGTTTGTCAACCGATATCCACTCTAATGAAGAAATTAACAACCTTTATTAGTGGATATTTTAACATGAAAATAGCAGTCAAATTAGATGAAGCAGAAATAATATCTCTAGAAAAATGTTGAGAGTGGTAGGGGAGATTGAGGGAATTCTCCGAACGGAAAAATATTTACAAAAAGTTTCCTATGTGCACACAAACTTCCATAATTAACTACTGAAACTTGTATCTAATGGGAACGTTATTCCCATAAAAAATGGTTTAAGGTTTTACGAATTTTGAAAAAAAATAAATATTTTTCATTGAAAAAAAAATGTCATTGCATGGTATTCTCCCAAGTACGGGATGATTCTGCCCAGAAATTAAATAAAGCATTATTCGAAAAAAAAATTCTTGTAATAAAGCAAATATTGTAAACAAAAAAAATTTCTTATATGCATTTAAAAACACGATATAATGCGATAATTTTATCTTCTGACTGTCTTTCGTTCGACCTTGGTACACACATCGCACGTATAATTAACTGCTAAATACCAACCACTATCTACATTCTGAATGAGCCCAGTTCTAACGCATTACACATCGGTAAACGTTACCAAATTTCTTTGTCTCGTCTGAATTCACCGCACACGAAACACTCCTCATTTCCTAACGTTAGATCTATATCATAAGTTCATCATCATCACAAAGCTGACTCTCATTATAACTTCGAGACTAAGAATCATCAAAATGTAAATTTAAAAAAACTGAAACCTTTTCCTGGTTTCAGTTTTCTCTTTTCTAGTTTTCTTTCTAATTAAGTTTTTGGTGACGTTGTTAGAATCTTCTTCTTCTTCAGATGCAAATCCACTAATGGATGTTAGCGATCACATTTTCCATTCATTCTCTATTTCTTGCAATATGTATCAGAGATTGTATCTCGTTAATCCCTGTCCATTGCTCTATGTTTCGGAGCCAGGACATTTTCTTTTGTCCCATTCCTCTCTTGCCTTCAATTTTACCCTCGATTATAAGTTGGAGGAACTGGTATTTTTCATTTCGCATGATGTGACCTAGATACGCCGTTTTCCTTTTCTTGATGGTTTCGAAAAGTTGGCGTTCTTGGTTTATTCTTTTAAGGACATCTATATTTGTGATTTTCGCTGTCCTTGGTATTTTTAGGATACGACGATAAAGCCACATTTCGAAAGCTTCTAATCTGTTTATATCCCTCGTTTTGAGTGTCCATCCCTCTACGCC